TTTACACAACACGGATGTATAACACTCCTCTCCAGTAGCAGTAACCACTTTCATTGGAGGGCGAATGTCATACATTTGCAAATTTAGCCCAACGGCCATAAAATCAGACATACAGGAGTGTGTAGCTCCTGAATCAAACAACACTTCAACATCCATATTATCAATGTAAATTGTACCTTTCACTAGATTCGGAGCCTTCTCCGATTGCTGACGGTCCATGGTATATACTCTACCAACCGTCTGAGACTCTAGCATAGGTTGAACAACAGAGACCGGAACAGCAGTAGCTTGAACTGCCATAGTCCTTGCTTCATTCTGAGGACACTGCCTGGAGTAGTGACCGGATCTTCCACATTTAAAGCAAATCACCTCACCAGTAGCACATGGACCTCTATGCTCTTTGCCACATCCCTTGCACTTGGGAGGAGGTCCTCTATCAACAAACTTCTTCTGAGTACCGGGTTTTTTGAACAAGTCAAAGGGCTTATTCGCATTCAGCTTCTTGCCTTGCACCTTCCTGTTCTTCCAATAACCGGAGCCCGTTGCTTTATGGGAACTAGGTGCCTGGGCCTCAGAAGACTTCTTGGCTTGGGACACCTTATACACTTCTTCCACCTTTCTACACTGGTTTACAAACCGACTGAATTCTCGGATGTCACAATTTGACATCTTCCGAGACATCTTTTCATTAAGACCCCATTGGAACTTGGAGGTCATTTCAGCCGGGGTGGGTAAGGCTCGCCCATAGTTGGCGTATTTCACCAACTCATTGAATTTTGAGAAGTATTGGTCAATAGACATCGACCCTTGCTTGAGATCGTTATACTCATTCTGCTTTTGTTCCCTAGCCTCTCTAGGGAAGTAGTTATCCAAGAACGATGTCTCGAATAACCGCCATGTGATCTCCCGACCTTCAGCTTCTAATGGCTGCACGGTATTTGTCCACCAATCTTCTGCTTCCTCTTCCAGCATATAAACAGAGTAAGCCAACTTCATTGCGTCAGGGCACCTCATCACCCTGAATATCTTCTCCATAGCTTGGAGCCATTTTGCAGCCGCCATTGGCTCATAACCTCCCTTAAAAGAAGGAGGTTTATGTTTTCGGAAAGCCATCAGTCTCCTTTCCTCCATCTCATGATCTCCGACATTTTCAACTTGAGGTTGACGAACCTCAGTGTGATGACTCCGACTTCCGGAGTGGTGACTACCTTCACCCTCATTGTTACCCACTCCACCCTCTTCCTGTGAAGGAGGTGGAGAAGGCGTAGCAGTGTGAGGAGGAGGAGTAGGTTGCCGGTTCACGGGCCTAGGGCCCCTCAACGTCCTCAGCTCAGTCATCATTGCGGCCATGGCAGTCCGCGAGTCTTCATTTGTTTTCATCAGATTTTCATTGGCTTGCCTGCTAGCAGCCAACTCCCTCTGAACAGCTGCAAGAGCTTCAGCTACGGGATCAGGCTGTACGCCCGTTGCCCCACGGCCACTTCTAGGCCTCACAAGAGCAGCCAAAACAGGTTCTGGCTGAGCATTGGTGTTTGATGGTCCGGGGTTGTTTCGGTTCCTCGTCATGTCACTACACATGTTACACAAAGAAGTGAGTTGATCAAGCCCACACTTAGTGATCACAAATGCAATAATCATACAGAGTACTAAAACAACTATAAAGCATCAAACACTAAGCATACTTAACAATTTCCGACGAAACTGCTCTGATACCATAAAATGTAACACCCCGTTCTAGAACCGGTTTGTTAACATCGCATTATGATATTAAGCGCAGTTACAATCACATGGGTTCAATTAAAATCCGGATAAATTTTTCATTTTAAAACGTACCGAACTTATAATACCCAATTTCGTGATCATAACCAAATTACCTTGCGGAAACAGATAAATTAAGCTTAACATCATGTTCATTTTCCATTTTTAAACCTTTAATTTACTTCTTGTTTAGTTCAATACTTCTACTATATTGTAGGTTTCTTCATTAGCTACCTGTGGCTTCAAACCGTGCTCAAATCGGAGCACTGTAGCCCAAGTTAGGACCATTTGAAGCAACACAAGAGAGTGTTGGTCACAGGCCCCGCGCGCTTCAGCGCGCTACCGGGCGCTCAAGCGCGCGCTATCGGGCGCTAAAGCCTCCATCTGGGCGCTTAAGCGCACGGAGGCAGTAAGCATTAGCATTTCCAGTGTGGATGGGCGCTTAAGCGCGCAACAGGGCGCTCAGGCGCGCTAGCCTGGGCGCTCAAGCTCCCACTGGGACGTTTTAGCGCGCAGAGACAGAAGCATTTCCTCCTACAGTGGCTAAGGGCGCTTAAGCGCGGGCCAGGGCGCTCCAGCGCGCAATCCTGGGCGCTTAAGCCCCCACTTGGGCGCTCCAGCGCGAGGAGGCAGAATGCATTGGCACTCGCAGGGGCAGCAGGGCGCTTGGGCGCGCTCCTGGGCGCTTAAGCGCGCTGCCAGGGAATTCCAATCCCCACATTTCTCAAGTCCAAGCCTAGGGGAAAATGCATTCCCATTACATACCCCAATTGTTCATGCCCCAAAACTAAGTCCTAGCCTCATCCAACCTCTCCTCATGAGATTTAGCTAGAATTTGGGCAGCATGACCTTTGTTTTCTCATCGTTTACCAGTTTAAACAAAAGGGTACCTAATTGGTTTTCAGCCCAACCAATTCAACAACTCAATACATCACAAGCATGCATATATTGAATCTCAAAGAGACATCGTTTACTTTACATATCCTTTACAAATCATAGAACTTAGCTTACAAAACACTATGATCATTCCCTTGGCTCCCATCAACAAAAGGTGTAACCAAAGGCATGAGCATAGGCTAAGTTCATTCAATGAATCAAGGCATACCAATGACCAAGGGCTTTCAAAATAAACTCCTATACATGTCAACTACAAAAGGCATGCATAAACTCAAAAAGGAATGCCACATCTCATGCATAATCCAGATATGGCCACTTGCCACCAGAGGCTCCTGCAGCATCCTTACCTGAAAGGGGGTCCCCACAACACGGGGTGAGATATACGAATATATCCAGTAAACCAGGGGTCCTTGGAGCATCTCTCCACCCCACAGTTCCATATCAGTGTAATAGCAATAACAATAATAATGCAGTAAATACATATCTATGCAAAGTGCAATACATCTCCAGGAGAAATCCCTCGAGCTCTCAAGCTGTCCTAAGGAAACTCAGATGCAAATAGTCCTACTGGCCAGCTAACTACCAAGTATGATTTACGCATCGTCATGCCACATACCAACATAGGGAAACACCATCCTATGCCACACCAAATGCATACACATACGTATAACAAAGCATTACACTATTTTATTGCATTTATATACACAATCACAACCTCCACCCTTTCAGGGCTTGGTAGAACAGTCAAGGGAATTACACCCAAGGTCCGAAGGCTTACCTCAATGCTTCAGTCAACCTTTGTTCACCACCAACAGGTTCCACAGTCAGTCAATTACAATACTTCACTTCTCAAACAAAACCTACACAAGGTTTAATGCAATTAACACATATTGCATCCAATAACATCTCATAGCTATCAACCAAGCCATACAATTCATACCAAACATAAGCATGAACTCACCTATCCAATGGAGCTAATCAAGCTCCATAGCTTGCTCCAATGGTTGATCACTCACGGTTGGTCCAAATGTCTCAATCCTAGACATCACAAGGATCCAATCAATCATTCAACTCATTAATTGTTCAACATGCTAGAATACTAACCAATCCAAGCATGAATTTTCCAATATTATGAACAATTATCAAATGACTATCTAGGCTCATTTCCACCGATTAAATGACATTCCTAGCATTTTCCATAACATGCTCTAAGCTCCATTCTTCCTAGAACATAGCTAATTCAACTACATTTCATAAAAAATCCCAATTTACTATTCACAAACCCTAACTCATGCAAATTTCAAGGAATCATGAGGTTCAAGGGTTAGAATCTTACCACCAATGGTCACACAACCAAGCAAGGGGTGTTCCTCAAGCTCCCATGGAGGTTGAACTTCCCAAAACCCCAAAATCACTCAAATGGTCGAATTTTTGAGGGGTAATATCTCTCTTCACAATGCTCCCCACTCAAAACAAAGCTAGGATTATGAAAGAGGGGAAGATTCTAAGTGATTTAGGCTTTTGAATCGCTCCAATCGGTTGAAAATCACACAACCTAGGTTTTCCTTCTCTCTCTCTCTCCCTTCCTCTTCTCTTCTCTTCTTTCTGGGCGTCGACGGGCTTCTGGGGAAAATGGGGGCAATTGGTGACTTAAGTCACTTAACTTAGGTTAAGTGGCTCTAAGCGGGTATTGGTTCGTCTATCTATTTAACTCCAATAATTACCAAACTTTACCCAAAAGTCTGGAATATTATTCTAGGAATATTACTATTTTTATTTTTATATTTTGGGTACTTTTGACAGTACCCATTTATACCCCTTAATTTTCACTGAGTACACTTTTTAACTCCAAAGTGACTCAGATTCATTTTATTAAGCCTCATACTTAATTTCATTCAGTAAAACATGTTTAATTAATTAATTAAACTTGATTTCCAAATTAATTAATATGGGCTATTATACGCAAACTATGTGTTAAAACGATAATTGACCAAAAAAATTATAAAAAAAAATATGGGTCGAATTCGTGTTGATACAACACGACACGAATTTTTTGCATGTCATTTTTTCCCAACAAGAACACGACACAAAAATCTTTTGTAGGTCAACCTGAACACGAATTTTTGGGTCGTGTCGCGGGTCGACAGAAGCGTCATAACATGTTTTGACACCCCTGTACACCTGCTTGCTTTTTAATCCAATAGAATTTAATTAGTGTATTAGCATTTTAGAATTTACTGTTGGAGGCTTGTAGCTCAGCAGGTTTTTAATGAAAGAACAAATTTCTATGTTTTTGATGTTCAAACACTTGATTTCCATCTATCTACGTTGGGTATGATCTACAGACAGAAGAAAGGTTTACGTAAGCCTCAGCACTCCTATACCTGAAAAGCTACTTCAACTTGACAGTGAAAATAGATCAGTACAGGCAACCAATGACTATAACAAGCTACAGGTGTATTTGTACTTCTCAGTTCCAGTTCTGAATTCATCCACAGAAATTATGAATTCTCTCAACATTAGTCAGGGTTCACTTCTTCCAACGAGTGGAGAAAGTCTTGGAAATCGGAGATTTGGATTCATGGTTAGTTGATTCATAGATATGACTTGTTTTAATTGTGTATATCTTATGCTTAATCCAAGTGTATCTCTTCTCCTTACACGTCTACTTTTTGTTTGTTGGCCGATTCTTATGTTTCAGATTGCTAATATCTCCTCAACTGCTATAATCTCAGTTGACTTCAATTCAGAGTCTATAATAACCAGACAAGGGACTCAAGTTTCTCCAATTGCACCAGTTACTTTCCTTTATGGTACATGTCATCCAACAAGAGAACACTATTTAGATTCTCATGCTAAAATACACACGCACACGCACACGCACATATTTCTTTTGCTTTTGTACATTGTTGGGCTGAGAATTTTGAGATTCCATTGCTCTCCACTGACGTAGCCATGTATGGAATTTAGATTCGAGGAGACCTGCTGTGATGTTGAGTACATATAGCATGAGGACAAGAGAAGACAATCTCTCGATACTAATCAATTTTATGAAGCCTGTTTTTGGCTTCAATGCCTCTTGCATATCAATTTTAGGGGGTTCATTAAAAAGGCAAGTATTTTTTAGATGTGCATTTTCTGTGATATTGTGTACTGTTCCATGCCTGTATTTGTAAATCTCTGTATCTCTCTATATGCATCCTCTAAAATAGAGAACCATGGATAGTTTCCTAACATTATATTATGAGAAATCCAATTGCCAGTTGATAATTGATCCTTTCTCTTGCAACTTATGTCCAGCTTCAATAGAAAAAGACGGAGCACATATGTTGTTGAGATACAAGCAAATGAGGATCTGGTATTTGTTAGTGTTCCGGAGAATGTAACTAGTGATGTTGTCGGTAACCAAAATCTGGCTTCCAAAGTTCTACAAGTGAGGCACTGTAAGGTTTTCTAACACTATATTCATTTAATTTACTTTTTGGTGATTGTGTTGTTATTGGTATTGATATTATAGTTTGTCTGTCTGATAATCATACCTAATCTATTGTATATTATTGTATTGTTTTCCCTTTTCATTTATTGGATGCAAGTTTTTAAAAAATTTGCATCCATAATTGTTAAAACATATTTATGATTTCATGAATCATGCAGACTCTGTACCTGTGATTTCTTCTGTGGTTTATGCATTTACAACTGCTTCTTTTGTGGTGACACTGATTGCTGCGGGACTGCTTACTATCGCAACTTCAAGCCTTCAATCTGTTGTTCCATCTATGAGACCGTCTATCGCTGATCCAGCAAGGAATCTTTTTGTGAGACACCAAACTTACTTGAATAATATCCTGCTAACCAGTGACTACCCCAATCCATGAATCTGAGTGCAATTTACACATGTTTATGTATTGAATCGTTGTTTAAAATGGAGAAAAGCAGTACTATATATGAATTGAATATTTTGGCTAATAAGTATTTGATTTATCTTAATTATTCAACAATTTATTTTTTGTGACTAAACAAATTGAAGGTTTAATATGAGAAAATCTCGACATCATGTTCTATTTTTGTGCCCAGTTGCCCACTCACTCATTGTCTGTGTTCACTCCCTTCCCTCTCACAACAAAACAGAGATCATAGATCATAGTAGAGTGTTTTTTACATTCAAGGCTAGAGATCAATGTTTCTTCTTCCTGTAGAAAGAATGTACTTGATCTCGTATTTTAATTTGTTTAGAATTTTGGTTAAGTTATGAAATTCTTTTCTTTCAATATCTTGAACTTTTATTTTATTTTATTTTTAACTTTGTAAATATTTATGCAAATTACAAAATACCTTTTGTTTTTGTATTAATTATGGAGAGAATACCACATTGATAAGGTCAATTTTGTCAATCATGCAGAGAATAATGGGCCATATTCAGGTCTTTGCACTATCTAGATGGTTAGCAGTTGAGCTTCCAGTTGAGTTTTTTGAATTTGCCAGGCATTTGCAATGGACCATACCCTATTTTTCTGTGCCATGGGAAGCTGGACATATGAACCCCTTCATGGTAGGCTCTAGTCCTTTTGGGAGCTCTAATTCGTTCACCAAAGCTTCAGCAACAATCACAAACACATTGTTTAAGAGTTTGAGTTTCACCTCTTCAGTGAATGGATCCCCAACTTTAAAAAAAAACAAAGGGCATGGATCCCCACTTAATTCTTCAGAGTACAAGCAATATTGTGAGGTCAGAACAAGTTAACTTTATCAATCCAGCAGAGCAAGCTAATTTCTTATCAATATTAATGAAAAACGGTCAATATCCTTAATTAACAATGCATACATGCAGGGAGCTGAATATATTTCGGATTCACAACATTCTAGTGGGTAAGTTATACCTATCAATACATCATAATATTATTTATATTTATGAAATTATAGCTTTAATTTCCATATGAAAAGGTCAAAATTATTGGGTATGACTCATACTTCGCATGCTGACGATGGCTCATACTTATAAGCTGTAATGGTATCTGAAAGTTGTCAACTTAGTATAGCATGCTTTGCTTGTCAACACATGCCTTACTAGCTTTCAAAGAGAGGTGTAAGAAAGGAAGTTGTGCAAATAAATATTGGCGCAAAGATTATCCATTAGTATGTTTAATTAGATTAAATTACAAAATTTCAAGTAAAAGAAGTGCAAATTTGGGGATAAAATGCGGTGCATTAACTATAATTTTACTCGTACAGTAATCCAAATTTTATTAAACAAGTAGGGAGCATGATGATTTGCAGTATCTTGTACTTGATGCAATTTTTTTTTTTTCATCTGTGAATAATATTAGACAGGCACTCCATCAGATAAATCAGGACACACCCTCTGCTTTCAGATTATAATTAATTTATTAATCTTATTATTCAAAGTTCGAATGCTTCAGCAATATTTGCTTGCTTATATAATCTACTATCAGATTGATTGTTTTTCCTTATAGATGGACAGATTTTTATAGAAGCATGTTTTGGTTAGCTGTGATCTGTGGTGGTTTGATGGTTCTGCATGCTTTTCTCCTCATTATCCTGAAATTTGGGAAGAGAAATTCTGAGAACCGTAGAACATATGGAGCACTCACATTCCCAAGATTTGAGATATTTATTTTATCTCTTGCACTACCTAGTATTTGCAGGGCCTCTGCAGTTCTTATTAGAGGTAATCTTAATGTTATTAGTTGTCACCTAACACTTTGTGAACAATGATATTTGAGACCAAAAAAACTATGTCAGGTCAGGTTATTAAACATGCAATCTATATTAATTGTTGCTAACCATTAGATTGATCAACCACATTTTTGAACTGCTTAATGAAGCACATGTTAGTGGTTCTTGCTTCTACTTCTATCCAGTTTATTATTTTTCACTCTCATGCTTTATACGAAACTAAAATTCCATTATGTAACTAGCAATTGATATAATCAGTACTACAGCATCTATTTTCTTAAAGAATAGCAGGACAGAAGGTTTGGGTTTGACAAACTCTGTGTCAGAGTTCAGTTTAAAATTACTACCTATAGGTTTGAATATACCAGTATTTTTCTTTTCTTTTGAAGACAAAGTTGTGATGAAATGACTGGGATTCAAACACAAGATATTCCTATTACTAATCTGATCCTTTCTGATTTGATTTCTCCTGGTCTAAATGTATGGTTCTTGGAGATATATTCATTTGTTTGTTGAAAGTCCTCCTCCCAAGAGAAGATGAGCCTTTATTCTCCATGTTATGAAAAGGAAAGAAAAATTAGAAAAGTTAAACTATGCTAAGAATGAAGTTATTTATATGCTTTCAGTCATTTTTGCATGGTTACTTTCCTTTTTAGAAGTTTAACTTGAAAGAAAGAGTGAATATTATTGCTATTTGTGTATAACACAAACAAGAGGTTACAATATATAGAAGCCTAATGAGCTTAAAGGAATAAACCCAAATACCAAAAAGGAAAAAAAAATCCTAAGAAGAAAAAGGAAACAAACAATTACAATATTAACTAGAGATGATTCTAATATTTACAACAGTTTAGAACTGCTATTACACAATTATTAGGTTTAATTTTTCTCATTCGATGTATGAACTTAGGGGGAGCTCCTTCAGCAGTGGCAGTTGGCATTCTACTGTTGGTTTTTGTGTTCATTATGCTTCTAGCTTTGTTCTTGTTCCTATTGGTTGGAATTACATTTGGAAGATTACTTCAATACAAGGAAGGGCAGTGGACATGGAAAGAACAAACTAAATCTGTTTATCTAACCATCTTTGGCCCACTATTTGAAGATTTACGAGGTCCTCAAAAGTACATGCTTTCACAAATATCTGGTGGAAATCTTCCAACTCAAAGGGGCAGCATTACTGCATCCGGTGATGAAACAAAAGATGCAAAAGCACCTTTCATTCAAAAGCTGTTTGGGAATCTTAGAATATACTACGTGCTTCTTGAATACATAAGGCGGGTTTCGTTGGGAATTTTGGCTGGTTTCTACAATCAGACTCAAACTTCTAAGAGTCCAGTTATTATTATGCTGTCCATATCCTCTTTTGAGCTATTCTTCATTGTGCTAAAGAAGCCTTTCATAAATAAAAAGGTTCAGTTAGTTGAGATTATCTCACTCACCTGTGAAGTTGCTTTATTTGCTACTTGTTTAGTGCTCTTGAAGAAGGAGGGTCTTTCTGTGAGAAGTGAGAGTAAATTTGGGATTTTTATGCTTGTGTTGTTCCTTTTGGGGTATTGTCCTCAGATTACAAATGAATGGAATGCTTTATATGTACAAACAAGGCTGCTAGACCCTGAGGAGAAGTCACTCTTAACAGGTTCGAAAATTGCTTCCATTGGTTTTCTTCGTTATTTCATCCCTCAAAAATACATCAAAAACTTGGAAGAGTCGTTACCACAAAATGGAAATGAAAAGGAAGAAACTCGAGACACGTCTTTGGGAACTGATGAGCACCGGCGCTCAGCTCCAACTGATCCTTCCACTAGTGGCACTACCAGACAGAGTGGGCCTGAGCAGAAGAATGCGACAAAACGTAAGAGAAAAGAAGAAGTCCAAGCCCATGCCCCGAGAGAAAATAACAATCAGGGAATTGAAGATAATAAAGAAAAGGAGTTAGTTACTGGGAATGCTATGTGTCAAGAAACAAGTGGAGAGAACGAATGGGATGATAGTGGAACGAGAGAGGCAACAAATGACGATGTTACTGGGGATGATAGTGGAACGGGAGAGGCAGCAAATGACAATGTTACTGGGGATGCTATGTGGCAAGCAACGAGTGAAGAGAATGAATGGGATGATAGTGGAATAGGAGAGGTAGCGAATGACAATGATGGGGATGGGTGCTCAGGCAGTAGAAGCTCAGGTACACCTGCAAAGGCTAGTTTTGGTAGGGGAAGGGGTTCAGCTCCAACTGATCATTCCACTAGTGGCACTACTAGACGGAGTGGGCCTGGGCAGAAGAATGTGACAAAACGTAAGAACAAAGGAGAAGCCCAGGCCCATACACAAAAAAGAGAAAATAACAATCTGGGGATTGAAGATGATAAAGAAAAGGAGTTAGTTACTGGGGATGCTATGTGTCAAGCAACGAGTGGAGAGAACGAATGGGATGATAATGGAACGGGAGAGGTAGCGAATGATAATGTTATTGGGGATGCTACGTGGCAAGCAACTAGTGGAGAGAACGAATGGGATGATAGTGGAACGGGAGAGGCAGCAAATGACAATGTTACTTGGGATGCTACGTGGCAAGCAACGATTGAAGAGAACAAATTGGATGATAGTGGAACGGGAGAGGTAGCAAATGACAATGTTACTGGAGATGATAGTGGAACGGGAGAGGCAACAAATGACAATGTTACTGGGGATGCTACGTGGCAAGCAACGAGTGAAGAGAACAAATTGGATGATAGTGGAATGGGAGAGGCAACGAATGACAATGATGGGGATCGGCGCTCAAGCAGCAAAAGCCCAGGTACACCTACAAAGGCTAGTTTTGGTAGGGGGAGAAGTTCAGCTCCAACTGATCATTCCACTAGTGGCACTACTAGACGGAGTGGACCTGGGCAGAAGAATGTGACAAAACATAAAAACAAAGGAGAAGCCCAAGCCCATACACAGAAAAGAGAAAATAACAATAAGGGGATTAAAGATGATAAAGAAAAAGAGTTAGTTACTGAGGATGCTATGTATCAAGCAACAAGTGGAGAGAACGAGGATGATAGTGGAACGGGAGAGGTAGAGAATGACAATGTTACTGGAGATGCTACGGGGCAAGCAACTAGTGGAGAGAACGAGTGGGGTGATAGTGGAATGGAAGAGGCAGCGAATGACAATGATAAGAGCACAACTTGAATATGATCAGAATTGGTGAAGCAACTGGAAAAGCTATCTCCAGAGCCAGGAAAGGTTTATATGGGAGGGGAGTATGATTGTAATAAAGGAATAGAGTATTTCTGGTTTTCCTGTATAATGGTGATGAAATCTATTTGCTACTTTTACTTGTAATGGCAAAAAGGGCATTGGAATATCATTTTGTATAATTAAATATTTAAATAATGTAAAAAAATTATTAAAACACCAAATCCTTTATGCTGTTATATTTTATGGATAAAAATTGGATAACGAAGGACGTAAAAGTTTAGAAGTGAGTTGTTTTATTGATGGGATTAAGGTTAGTTTGTTTAAAATTATATAAAATTGTATTATTTTAAACGAGTGAAAGAAATATATAATAAAAATTATATAAGAGAAAATAGAATTTTTTTTAAATTTATATTTTAAATAACAAATATTAATTTAATTAAAATTATCATCTTTTAAAATACGAATATTTTCCCTTTATTTACTGTGTGTATTGACAATCTTTCCGAAATCAGTTTTTTTTTTAATTTCTATTCCAAAGAACGAAAATGGATAGAAAACTCATTTAGTAAAATCGGTTTTTTTATTTTTTTCCTGGGATGAACTAATTTATTTTTGTGCTGAGGAACATAAAAAAGAATCAAAAAATTTCTGCTTTTTTATTTCCGAGCACAAAATGAGAAATATTTGTCTCTCTCAATCACTTTTCACCACTACCATCATTAATACAACTACCATCATCCCGACACGACCATTGCCATTATTGTCGCCGTCATTGTCATACCACCAGTGTAATGTCCCACATCGGTTGGAGAGGGGAACGAAACATGCCTTATAAGGGTGTGGATACCTCTTCTAGTGTGAGGCCTTTTGTGGGGTGTCCCAAGAAACAAAACCGTGAGCCCGAGGGCAAAGCGGACAATATCATGCTACAGGGTTTAGGGCTGTTACATTTGGTATCAGAGCCTGGCCCTGGATCGGTGTGTACAGCGGGAACGCTGTATTCCCAGTGGGGGAGGATGTAATGTCCCACATCGGTTGGAGAGGGGAACGAAACATGCCTTATAAGGGTGTGGATACCTCTTCTAGTGTGAGGCCTTTTGTGGGGTGTCCCAAGAAACAAAACCGTGAGCCCGAGGGCAAAGCGGACAATATCATGCTACAGGGTTTAGGGCTGTTACAACCAGTGTCGTCGTCATCACCGCCACCACGACGATGTCATCGCCACCATCACTACCACCATGTCATCGTCACCACACACCACTACCACCATCACCACTTCACCGTCACCAACCACCACCATCATCATCGTAGCCACTATCGTCATCACGACCACCACCATCATCGTCGCCATCCTCACCACCACTACCGCCACCGCCACCGCCACCATCAGCACTACCACCACCATCATCACAGTCACTCTTGTCACCACCACCATATGTCATTACCATCATCACGTCATTACCATCATCACGTTACCACCACTACCATCACATCCATTGCCATCGCCTTCACCATCATTACCACCACTAGGCCACTGCCACCACAACACACCATATAGAAAGAAAATTGATGATTCGAAAAAAATTTATGAATTATTTTTTATTATAATATTTGTTGTGTTAATCAAAAGCAATTCTTAATCTCGAAATAAAAAATAGAACATATTATCAAAAAAAAAAATTCTAAAACTATTTGAAATCACAGAAATAAAAAAAAATTATTTTTCCTCAGAATTAGTACCAAATGTTTATAGGGTTATATACTTCTTCTGTCACTCTACAGATGGAAAAAAGTACAGCAACACTTATTTTTATCAAAATACGCGTCTGGATCCTGATATATATATTTTTTAGGTCAAGATACGATCGTATCCTAGTATTAATAATTTGCGACGAACCATGTTCATAATGCACATTCGCTTTGTGACGGTTATCCCGTTCCATCTATTAAAGCAATAAGCTATACGCAAACGCAACCCAAATTGAACCGAACCCTAACTTCCCGATTCCTTTGTTTCGTAACCCTCACATCCTGTCCAAGTTTTAACCTTTGCTCGCTTCTGCTCCTGCGTCCCAGCTGGTAAATTGCACTTTCAAATTTGTTATTTTGCTCCTAAATCCCGTGCCAGCAAGCAGCAGCAAATTTCAACACTTGTACTCTGTTTTGACCTAATTGTCTCTCCTTCTAACACCTGTCGTCGATTGCCACTCCTATTGAATTATTCACACACACAGAGATATATAAAGGAATGGGTTCTGTGCTAAGTTCAAAGAAGAGCAAAGAGGAGCTTGAAATGGCGTTGAATAAGGCTAAGGAGATAGCATCCTCCTCCCCTGTCCTCGTCTTTAGGTATTTTATTTCAATCTATCTACCCATTGCTATATATTTTGTAAGTAACATGATTTCATTATATATTAACCGTTTCTATTTTTGGTATATCTCAATTCTTGTTTTCGTATCATTTTAGAATTTGATTGTGGGTGTAACTAGAAATTGACCTGACCCTTTATTTTTATTTTCATTTTTTCATTTTTTTCATCTTAATAATTGCATTTTGTAATGTGTGTGGTGACAGTAAGACTTACTGTGGCTACTGCAAGCGGGTCAAAGATCTCCTGACACAGCTAGGAGCAACCTACAAGGTCGTTGAATTGGATATGGAAAGTAAGTGTGCTTTCAATGCTCTCTCAATTGATTTCGTGTTTGGTCCATTCTATCAATTTTGTTTTCTTAAATTGCTCTAAGTGGTTTCTTTAAAATTCATATTAGAACTGCTTTGTTTGTCCCTCTTTAGGCCTTGTCAGGACATAACCCTTTCTGACCTTTGAAGTTTTCCAATTTAATTTGTTCCACATCTCTGCTATTTTAAGCATTCTTTATATAGTAAATGTTATGTTATAAAATTGTCGAGTTATGAATGTCATCTTTGCTATTTGCATTATTAATGTGGAATATGCAGAAATAAGAAGTCTTATGTCCATTATATTTTAAAATTGGGGTCTATTATCTTCTGCCCGGAGGGCTGTTACACATTAATTTCAAGAAATTAATTTGCTATCAATTCTATGGTTCCTTTTCCTCAGAATTTTCTTTACCTATTTGAAGGTGATGGGGGTGATATTCAATCAGCTCTAGCTGAGTGGACAGGGCGAGCTACTGTGCCTAACGTGTTTATTGGAGGAAAGTACATTGGCGGTTGTGACAGTAAGGCTACACTTGTCATGCTTCTTTTACATTCGGTGCCCATCTTCTATTAGGCGAAGATCAAATAAATCTTGTTATTGTTCTTCTACTTTTCTTTCTTGTCTATGACATTTTATCACTTGGGTCTTTCAGCTCTTTTCGAGAAACACCGGGCTGGTCAACTGGTTCCTCTTCTCAATGATGCTGGAGCCATCGCCAATAACTCTGCTCAGCTCTGAATAACCACACTTAAGATGAAATAAGGAGAAATTGTATGCTGAAATTTCTGGCATTACTTTGTATGAATATAAAGGGTAACAAGGATGTATAATGGGCTGTAATTATGTGATACACATCAAAGATATTAACCGATCTAAGTTACCCATCTGAATAGATTGGAGCTGAGATTCAAATATTCTCGTTTGTTGAGATTATGTGACTTCCTAACGAAATCATGGTACAGTTATTGGCATCTAGAGCCTTTAGTTACAGCAGGGGCTATGTATATAATAACTCTGTGTGTGTATGCAAATATTATTGTTTGTTGAGATTATGTGGCTCCTTAACTGAAATCAGGGTACAACTAGTGGCACCTAGAGCCCCTCGTTACATTAGGGGCTATGTAAGTAGCATTATTCAACTCTCATGAACTATTTTCCCTAGTGTTTTGTTGCATGCTGATTTCGCTACGGTAGCCCTTTTTTTTCAGCCCTTTCACTCGAAGGAAAATAAATTGGTTCTATTTAGTCTGAGAATGACTGAGATTCCAGGTTAATCATAGGGTTGATAATGGATGAGAATGGGTGATAATGGCCATATTATATTGGGTTTTATGTTTATGTTTTTGTTGCTGAAAAAAAATGTTTGTTATACTCAAATAAAAGTTAGTGAGTTTCATTAATCTTTTGTCTCTCTTTTCTTTACGGATTCTTCATTTCCTTTTACTTTAGGGAAAAGTGTCTTATTTTAAAAGATGTAAAGTTGTCTCATTTTAAAAGAGAGAAAGAAATAGATAAAGGAGGAGAGAGAGTTGACAAAAAAAGTAAAAGTGTGAGTCTCATCTTTTTGTGAGAGTGAAATGATATAAGTTGTGTTATTTAAAAAGATAAACATTTTTTTCTTTACTTTACAGAAGAGATAGAGAACTATATTAGATTTTGCTCTACCTAGATAGTACATTAGCACTAGGGTTCAGTTTTTGTGTCCAATGTTTTGATTGAAATTGATTCCGTAATTTCAGTAAATGTGGATATGACGGATATTACGCTGAGATGATGATTCGTAACCCATGTGGAACACTCATAAAATATCTTGCCAAAATTTATGGAACCGTGATAAAAATATTACTGTTCACCAAGTTTGTTATTCAAACGTCGCGTGAACAATGTTGTTTTCTAATATTTCGCGTGGGCAAATTCGTTGAGAACTGTAGCGAACTCAGTTTGTTGATATGTCACGTTTTTTGTGGACACCAAGTTCATTACTTGAGGTAGCGAACTTGGTTGCAATTAATACTGACACATTGGAGAAGTCGCTACACACAACGAACTAAGTGTGCCACGTTTTTCGTTGTCATCTAGTTCTCTACTAATAATAGCGAATTAGGTGATCAAAATGTTAGTATGTTCTAAACACATTTAGGACATGTGGCATACTAGGAGAAGTTCACTATGGCACCTAGCGAACTACCTTTTAAAATATTGATTTTTTTGCTACGGTACGCTATTCCCAAAAGACATGCCAGCTTCAAATGGTTATTCCAGTTTCATCATTTTTTTCACTTTTTTTTCTCTCCAAAACTTGCTTCTTTCCCATTCTCACCTAAATGGGTCTTCAACTTGGACCTGCTCCTCCTTTGCTTTGATTGTGTTGAGATATATAGTTCCACATTAGTTGTATGAACAACTAATGTGGTCTTTATAAGACCTTAGGCACTCCCACCCTTTGAGCTAGCTTTTGGGGTGGTGTATCCCAATGTTCTTTACAATTTGTATCCCAAGCTCTTGGAGATTGTTTGAGGCCATAGAGAGACTTACGAAGACGACAAACAAGACCTGGCTCCCCCTGAGCAACAAATCCAGGAGGTTGCTCCATATAAATTCCTTCCTCAAGATCACCATGAAGAAAAGCATTCTTGATATCCAGTTGGTAGAGAGGCCAATGGCTAATAGCAGCCATGGCAATAAAAAGGCGAACAGTAGACATTTTCGCCACAGGAGAAAAAGTATCAATAAAATCCAAGCCAAAGACCTGAGTGAAACCCTTCGCCACCAAGCGAGCTTTAAGACGATCCACTTGACCATCAGGTCCAACCTTAACAGCATAAATCCATCTGCAACCAACCACAAATTTTCCAGAAGGAAGAGGCACCAGGTCCCATGTGCTATTATGATGAAGAGCACTCATTTCATCAATCATAGCTTGTCTCCATCCCGAATGTGAAAGTGCATCATATGTGATCTTAGGAACAGATACAGAGGACAAAGAGGACAGGCAAGCAAAATATGATGGAGAAAGACGATGATAACTAATATTGACTGTATACCTGGCCGGAGGGCGAGTATCACGAGTACCCTTACGAAGAGCAATGGGAAGGTCATTATCTGAAGGTGGGACCGAAGCCGTGGGAGGAGATGCAGTTGAATGTGAGTCCACAGATACATCTGACGAACTATGCTCGATCTCATCAGCAGAAGAGGTGATAGAAGGAGAGTCAGAAACATGGACGGGTAAAGACGGAAGGTAAAGAAGGTCACTGGGGAAGGACGACTGTACAGAATCAGTATCCACGGGAGTAGTAGAGGTTCCAAAAAAGGGAACTGATTCAAAAAAGGAGACATCCGTCGAGATAAAGTATCGACGTAAAGTGGGATAGTAGCAACGGTAACCCTTCTGAGACCGAGGATAACCCAGAAAAACACATTTATGAGACTTGGGAGCTAATTTATCTAAACCTGGACCAAGATGATGAACAAAACACATAGAACCAAATACATGTGGAGTTAAAGGATATAAAGCTTGATGGAAAAATAAAATAGAGTGAGGTACCTTATGATTGAGAACAGATGATGGCATGCGATTAATGAGATAGCATGCAGTAAGTATAGCATCACCCCAGAATGAGCTAGCTTTTGGGGTGGTGTATCCCACGATTCTTAACATGATATCAGAGCGTTTGAAATCTCACCGCCTCCCACTTTCTTTGTAGTGGAATTTCCACATGTAGGTGGGCTTGTATGTTGTCCACCCTTCAAGCCCAATAGGCTCTCGTGTGAGGAAGAGTGTTGAGATATATAGTCTCACATTGGTTGTATGTGCAACTGTTACAATTCTTGGTATAGAGCTACCAAGAATCAGCCCACTAACCGAACTTACAGAAACAGAAAACATAAGAAACAACACCAGAATTTATACTTGGTTCAGAAATTCTTTGTAAGAGAATTTCCTACATCCAAGTTGGCCAGTGAGGGTCAAACGCCCTCTAGCATGCACTCTTATTCAACAACAGATAACAGGTACAAAGAGTTCAAGATCCTAAACATGTAACTCTACCAATACAGCATATACAAGGCATATAACAAAGAAAGAATAACCAAGATTACAACGCATATATGACCAGCCAATATAATCAGCAACAATAAAACAAATAAAAGAAAGATGTCACCAAATCTCAGAGCAAACACCAAGAACCAGGTGCCTTCAGCTCCCAAAGTATGCGAACCCGTCTTTACCAACTAGGAACGCCACCATGCTCCATCTTCTTCACTGTTGGATGATTTCTTCAAAACTGCACCGATCAATCTGAGCGTCTTGACAAGAGGAACATTTCTCTCAACATCACCGAGATGAGATTCTCAGTTTAACACTCTCAAATATGCCTCTCAAGCTCTCAAAGAAACCCTAAGATTTTCTTTCTGCAGAGAACTTCAACGAAAACAAAAAACCCAAATCTGATTTTGTTTTGGAATATGCCACGTTCATATTTCCAAGCACAAGGATATTTGTTATATTACTCAGCAAAGCAAAACACAGCGTCTCAGTTAGCAAATAAAGCCAAAACTGAATGCAATAGCAAATTGGGCCTTATTATTTATTTTCAATCGTTGGCCCACAGTGACAATTAAAGTATTACATGATTTAGAAAATATTCATAACAAATCTCCACCTATTTACTAAACATACAACAGAACAAAAAATGCACACCAGAATTTTCATGGCGTTTAACCCAAGGCCTATGCTATGCATGCAATTTAGGGAGGTTTTATTTTTAGCAAATTTAGAGCCTCCCTAAATTTACTAAGAGGAACAGTCTTAGTCAAAATATCTGCAGGATTAATTTCAGTTGATATTTTATTCACACTAACCTGACCATTACTAATTATTTTCCTTATGAAATGCAACCTAACATCTATATGCTTGGTCCTTTCATGGTATGCACCATTTTTGGACAAGTGTATGGCAGATTGAGAATCAGAGAATACCTTAGGAGGGTCCTTACCTAGACCCAACTCAGAGACAATTCCATGTAGCCACATTGCCTCATTGACAGCTTCTGTGAGAGCCACATACTCTGCTTCAGTTGTGGAGAGTGCCACAATGTGTTGCAAGCTTGCCTTCCAGCTCACCACATTTCCTCCCACACAAAAAAAAAACCAGTTAGAGATCTTCTTTTTATTAAGATCAGCAGCATAGTCAGAATCACAATAACCAGTAATATCACAATTAACTGAGTTTTCAGCAGTATAATGAATGCAGCAATCAACAGAGTCACTGAGGTATTTAAGCAACCATTTCACAACATTCCAATGTTTATGAGATGGTTTACTCATGTATCTACTTACTACACTAACATCATATGCAATATCAAGCCTAGAACCTATCATGGCATACATTAGGCATCCAACAGCATTAGAATATGGAATATTGCACATAAAAGAAGCCTCATCCGAGGCTAACTCACCATCTACAGCCTTCAACCTGAAGTGACCAGCAAGGGGAACACTTACAGGTTTGGCCAGGTACATGTCAAAGGTCTTTAAGACCTTTTTCACATACTCAGATTGAGAGAGAGTCAATTTCCTCTCATCTTTTTTCCTTGTAATGTCCATGCCAAGTATCCTTTTGGCTGGACCAAGAAATTTCATCTCAAATTCTTTTTTCAATAATGATTTCAGATTATTAATTTCATTTATGTCCTTAGATGCAATTAACATGTCATCAACATAAATCAACAAGTAGATAAAACAATCATCATGCAGTTGTTTGAAGTACACACAATGATCAAAACTACTCCTATTAAAACCTTTGGACAAAACAAAATCATCAAATCTCTTATACCACTGCCTAGGGGCTTGTTTTAACCCATAAAGGGACCTTTTCAAAAGGCACACTTTGTTCTCAGCCCCCTTTTTTATAAATCCTTCGGGTTGCTCCATGAATATGAGTTCTTCAAGGCTGCCATGCAAGAAAGCAGTCTTGACATCCAGTTGTTCCAATTCTAAATCATGAATTGCAACAACTGAAAGAATGAGCCTAATTGAAACATGTTTC